TCTCTCTCTCTCTCTCTCTCTCTCTCTCTCTCTCTCTCTCTCCCTCTTTCTGTGAACACCCCATAACTCTGAATTATATATCATTTGGCATCCATTGCTTATTTTTGGTTTTAGTACACAGAGATTTTTTGACTTAAATCTGTGATCATTTAGTCTATTTTCCAAGCTCTCTACTTGGTCAACACACTGAGTTCTTTATTTTCAATTAAAACTAAGTGGTGTGTGTGCTGATCAGGTTCCTAAATGGATCATGAGTGTTAAACCTCTCTCCGCATTACATGAGCCATCTTGAATCCCACCATTCTAGAAGGAGTGATGAGTTGGTTGATGGAAAAGATCTTCACAAGCAAACTCACAAAGAGCTGAAGAGTCTCCCTGTCATATGCTGATGCTACTGTGTTTGATGGCTCACAGGTCCCACCCAGGGCCTCAGGACGGTCCCACCCTAAGGGAGAGATGTCAGAGCAAAGCGGATGAGTGCCGCAGTTGCAAGAGCCAATGGGCAAGAAGGTTGGCTGGCAATAACAAGGAAAAGTCTTCCCTCTCGGTATTTTTGGAGCTGTAAAAAGAAGGGAAGAAATGCAGATAAGACTTAAGGTGCTAAGCAAAAGAAGCCAAGGCACAAATGCCTGCCACACAATGCATGTTACATTCATATGCCATATTCAGAGTAGGCAAATCCACGGAAACAGGCCCCAGATTTGTGGCTGGCAGGGAATTGGGGAGCAGAGCAGGAGGGAGGTGGCCGCTATGGGTAAAGGTTCTTGTGAAAGTGATAAAACTGTTCTGAAACTACACAGTAGTGCTGGTCATGTGACAGTATGAATTGATTAAACATAATTAATGGTGAATTTTATATTGCATGCATTTTACCACAATTTTTTAAAAGGATATGCCTTATTAAGACAGAGAAAATGCTCTGCTTCTTCTGCTTCCAGGCTTTTATTGCCAGGGAGAAGGGCCTTCTTAGGCCCCTTGGCGTTTATGTTACAGGGACACACTTGCTTAGGTAAAAGAATGATGCAGAAAAGGCTTAAACCTAGTTCTGTCCCCTCTCCCTATGTGAGTCTCAGTACCAACCCTGGAGTGATTATAGCATGTGTGGTTATATCAAGATCTCTCCGTACATCATCAATGTTATTTTGGGGTTTTTTGTTGTTGTTGCTATTTTTGTTTGTTTGTTTGTTTGTTTTGTCTTGTTTTTGTACCGAGGATCAAATTCAGGACCTTGCACTTGCTAAGCGGACGTTTGTGCCCTGAGCTCTCTCCCCAGCCACACATCTTCTTTTAAAGTCCTCGCAAGCCGACCCAGCAAAAGCCATTCCCTCTTCTGATTTCCAGGTGAGAGGCAGG